TGTAAACTAATTTGTAACATAACTGGCGAATAATGAATGGGATAGAATATTTTCTAATATTTGTTCTTTTATCCCCCACAGGATTTCACATTTTTTATTGCTCTGGCTTTGTTACCCCTTGCTGCCATCATCTCGATATTAATTTATTTTTTTCTCTGTTAGTTTTTTCTTTGGGTTGGTAAACCAACATATAATATATTCAGGAACAATTAATCCATATTAATCTGAGTTATTTTTTAATTTTTTTATACCCTAATGTTACATATCTCCATTTGTTTTTTTCTCTCTAAGATGCATGATGTTACAATATAAATAACTATAAACCAATATATTTATGTAAACCAGTATTTATCTACTTATCTATCTTCTCACTAAGGTCTATAACTAATTTGTAACATAACTGGAGAATAATGAATGGGATAGAATATTTTCTAATATTTGTTCTTTAATCCCCATATGATTTCACATTTTTTTTTATCACTCTGGCCTTGTTACCCTTGCTGCCATCATCTCGATATTAATTTATTTTTTTCTCTGTTAGTCTTTTCTTTAGGTTGGTAATTCAACATATAATATATTCAGGAACAATTAATCCATATTAATCTGAGTTATTTTCTTTATTTTTTATACCCTAATGTTACATATCTCCATTTGTTTTTTTCTCTCTAAGATGCATGATGTTACAACATAAATAACTATAAACCAATATATTTATGTAAACCAGTATTTATCTACTTATCTATCTTCTCACTAAGGTCTGTAAACTAATTTGTAACATAACTGGCGAATAATGAATGGGATAGAATATTTTCTAATATTTGTTCTTTTATCCCCCACAGGATTTCACATTTTTTTATCACTCTGGCCTCGTTACCCTTGCTGCCATCATCTCGATATTAATTTTATTTTTTCTCTGTTAGTTTTTTCTTTAGGTTGGTAAACCAACATATAATATATTCAGGAACAATTAATCCATATTAATCTGAGTTATTTTCTCTATTTTTTATACCCTAATGTTACATATCTCCATTTGTTTCTCTCTCTCTAAGATGCATGATGTTACAATATAAATAACTATAAACCAATATATTTATGTAAACCAGTAATTATCTACTTATCTATCCTCTCACTAAGGTCTGTAAACTAATTTGTAACATAACTGGAGAATAATGAATGGGATAGAATATTTTCTAATATTTGTTCTTTTATCCCCCATATGATTTCACTTTTTTTTTTTACGCTCTGGCCTTGTTACCCCTTGCTGCCATCATCTCGATATTAATTTATTTTTTTTTGTTAGTCTTTTCTTTGGGTTGGTAAACCAACATATAATATACTCAGGAACAATTAATCCATATGAATCTGAGTTATTTTCTATTTTTTTATACCCTAATGTTACATATCTCCATTGTTTTTTTTCTCTCTAAGATGCATGATGTTACAACATAAATAACTATAAACCAATATATTTATGTAAATCAGTATTTATCTACTATCTATCTTCTCACTAAGGTCTGTAAACTAATTTGTAACACAACTGGCGAATAATGAATGGGATAGAATATTTTCTAATATTTGTTCTTTTATCCCCCACAGGATTTCACATTTTTTTATCACTCTGGCCTCGTTACCCTTGCTGCCATCATCTCGATATTAATTTATTTTTTTCTCTGTTAGTTTTTTTCTTTAGGTTGGTAAACCAACATATAATATATTCAGGAACAATTAATCCATATTAATCTGAGTTATTTTTCTATTTTTATACCCTAATGTTACATATCTCCATTTGTTTTTTTCTCTCTAAGATGCATGATGTTACAATATAAATAACTATAAACCAATATATTTATGTAAACCAGTATTTATCTACTTATCTATCTTCTCACTAAGGTCTGTAAACTAATTTGTAACATAACTGGAGAATAATGAATGGGATAGAATATTTTCTAATATTTGTTCTTTTATCCCCATATGATTTCATTTTTTTTTTATCGCTCTGGCCTTGTTATCCCTTGCTGCCATCATCTCGATATTATTTATTTTTTTTTCTTGTTATCTTTTCTTTGGGTTGGTAAACCAACATATAATATTTCAGGAACAATTAATCCATATGAATCTGAGTTATTTTCTTTATTTTTTATACCCTAATGTTACATATCTCCATTTGTTTTTTTCTCTCTAAGATGCATGATGTTACAACATAAATAACTATAAACCAATATATTTATGTAAATCAGTATTTATCTACTATCTATCTTCTCACTAAGGTCTGTAAACTAATTTGTAACACAACTGGCGAATAATGAATGGGATAGAATATTTTCTAATATTTGTTCTTTTATCCCCCACAGGATTTCACATTTTTTTATCACTCTGGCCTCGTTATCCTTGCTGCCATCATCTCGATATTAATTTTTTTTTTCTCTGTTAGTTTTTTCTTTAGGTTGGTAAACCAACATATAATATATTCAGGAACAATTAATCCATATTAATCTGAGTTATTTTCTCTATTTTCTATACCCTAATGTCACATATCTCCATTTGTTTTTTCTCTCTAAGATGCACGATGTTACAATATAAATAACTATAAACCAATATATTTATGTAAACCAGTAATTATCTACTTATCTATCTTCTCACTAAGGTCTGTAAACTAATTTGTAACACAACTGGCGAATAATGAATGGGATAGAATATTTTCTAATATTTGTTCTTTTATCCCCATATGATTTCACTTTTTTTTTATCGCTCTGGCCTTGGTACCCTTGCTGCCATCATCTCGATATTAATTTATTTTTTTCTCTGTTAGTTTTTTCTTTAGGTTGGTAAACCAACATATAATATACTCAGGAACAATTAATCCATATTAATCTGAGTTATTTTCTATATTTTTTATACCCTAATGTTACATATCTCCATTTGTTTCTTTCTCTCTAAGATGCATGATGTTACAATATAAATAACTATAAACCAATACTTTTATATGTAAATATGCATCTATTCTCTCATTAGGTTCTATAAACTAAATTGAAACACAGCTGGAATGATAAAAAAAGGATAGGTGTATTATGAATATATTATTAAGAATAATCGTTTACTCCCAACAAACTTTATTTTCTGTATCTCTGACGTCATCACTCTGGAATGCGTGTGCTACAATACCATTGAAGGAGAGGCTGATCTCCGCCCTTTTTCTACTTATAATATGTATAGATATATGTTAAATTGTTCAATATTGACAAGCAAATATAAGGTAAAAGAGTATTTATCGAAATATCCCTGGTGTTTTATCTTCAGAATTCACAGGACATGTTTTATGTAAAAAAAAAATGATAGGTGTATTATAAATACAGTCGTTTACTACCAACAAACCGTTATTTTCTGTATCTCTGACGTCATGCGTGTGACGTCATTACTGTGGAATGCATGTGCTACATTATCATTGAAGGAGAGGTTGATCTCCGCTCTTTTTCTACTCATAATATGTATAGAAACATGTTAAATTGTTCAATATTGACAAATAAATATAATGTAAAAAGAGTATTTATCGAAATATCGTATATATGAATCTGTATCCTGAGAGATCGATGACGCACGATCTCCGAGAATTACCGTTACACTTTCGCTTTCACTTTCGCTTTTTTCTCTCGTTAGACAACTAAAGAAGACGGTGTTTTATATTCAGAATTCACAGGACATGTTCTATGTAAAAATAAAAGATAGGTGTATTATGAATATAGTCGTTTACTCCCAACAAACCGCTATTTTCTGTATCTCTGACGTCAGCACTCTGGAATGCGTGTGACGTCATTACTCTGGAATGCATGTGCTACATTATCATTGAAGGAGAGGTTGATCTCCGCTCTTTTTCTACTCATAATATGTATAGAAACATGTTAAATTGTTCAATATTGACAAGTAAATATAATGTAAAAAGAGTATTTATCGAAACATCGCATATATGAATCTGTATTCTGAGAGGTTGAATACATACGATCTCCGAGAAATTACCGCTACACTTTCGCTTTTTTCTCTCATTAGTCAACTAAATAAGACGGTGTTTTACATGTTTTTGTGTATGTTGTAAGTGGAATGGGCGAAGATTGATCTTTCCTTGAGAAATGCGACTCCAAAGGTTAGATAAAAACGGGTCTTTCGAAGTATACCCTGTAACATAAGAAAACGTACGAAATACATTACTGAAAACTGTAAAAGCTATAGGTTATACTACGAAAAACCCGTTTTATAAAAAGAAGCCGAATTGGATTGATTGATGCACAATGATGAATATTTATGATGATAGAGTTCATAACAGCTGACTTTGTATTATTGTATAGTTACTATGGTCTTTTTTTTTTTAATTCTCCTTTACTTATCGCTTTATAAATGATTAAAGAAAACAAAATAACAGTAACAACTCAATATATTTGTACATGAATAAGTCTTATCTAAGTATTTGTATATGAATAAGTCTATAATAATAATTCTAACTTAACAATGTATATAATAATAGATTAACTTAACTCGATATATTTGTATATGAATAAGTCTTATCTATATGTTATAATAAGAATAATAATTCTAACTTAATAATACATACCATAACTAATATATATATATATATATATATATATATATATATATATATATATATATATATATATATATATATATATATATATCCTAAATCGTTCTCCTTCTTTGCAGACATCTCTGGGATGATGATCTTACTGGTTCAATGTAGAATCAGATATCGTCGACATTCTCGTGTAATTCATATTGTGAACCTAAAGAATAAATTCTATTATAAAACATAGATGTATATATATATATATATATATATATATATATATATATATATATATATATATATATATATATATATATAGTAGAAAAATATACTCTTATATCATCAAGAGTATAAATACAAATTTATCTCATGCAATTACCCCCCTTCCTTTAATATTACCTCCATGATAAATTCTTCACCCTTCACCATCCTAAGATACGAAATATGGGTTCCATAAAGCATGCTGATTCCATGGTATGTCATCCTCTGTCCATTTCTCTAAGCTTATTCCACACTGAAAGCATTGAACCAGGTCGTGTAACTCTAAAAAAAAAAAAAAAACATAGGTATTAGTTTACATATACATACATATTTATATATATATATATATATATATATATATATATATATATATATATATATATATATTATAATAATATAATATAATATACCTAAAGTTTTTGCTGGTCGTAAAAATCCTGCCTCTGCTAAATCAACAGCTTTTGGTATCTTTTTATCTCTTGGCCAGTTCATGAATGATTCCATTCGCTGTCGATGCATCACAAAGTTCACATGCACCGGTTCAGTGTTATTGGACCGGATGACTAAAAAAAAGAACAATAATTACAACATATAATCAACATATGAATATAACCACTATATATAGAAACTAACATAACAGCATGTGCTATAGTTACCTTTAGTTAAGGAGAAGGTGCTGCTCATGAGAGGTACGTTTCCTACGTTCTTATCTAAAACGTATTTACAGAGTGGAAAGAGACGAGAATGTTCCATTTCTGCATCAGGTTTAGATCTCCAACACCTCACTGTTCCCTACAAAAAGCACAGACACAACAATCACTCTTTCCCGTATAACAGAATCCCTCCTTAGCCAAAGGAGCCGGGTCTATTCACAGTAGGGCCATTCTCCATTTTTAAACGTTTCTAGACGTTTATATTCAAATTGTAATTCGTTATCTATGGTAACCATTATAGTGTCTCTCTCTATCTATCTTTGAATATTAATAATATTATCAGAGATTCCTTTATAATGTGATGTGATGAATATCCCACAGTCGCTCACTATATGTAACAAATCTAAAAATAAATATATCATAATCGCCCATATTATATAACAAATTCTAGGAACAGAATGGTGAATTTTAGCTACTAAACCTTTTTTGTGCTATATCCTTTTTAAGTTCTAGGTGATCATTTTTTAGACCCTCTGTCGTAGTGTTAAATTCCGTATTCCAAGATTCTTGTCTGGAGTGATGAGGAGGTGTATTTGATTCCATCGTTCATCATTCTTTCTTTTTATCTCTTTTTATCTTGTCAGTCTAGAACAATATATTCAATTAATCTTGATACTCGTATTGACTATGGTATATATAATTATAACACCCAACTGGAAATATTAATTAAAAAATGTCTCATTTCTATAGGAGGATAGGATTTAAATATTTTCTTTTTACTATATAATGTGCTTATAATAACTTATCGTCGAGACAGAGAGGGAGAGGAGGAACATTGTTATTATTGCTATTATGTATTGGGTAAAAAAAAAGAGTAAACAAATTATCAAGTGATACAAAAGTAAATGTGAACATTTTTTTTATTTATTTAACATACATGTGAATATATACTTGAAGAAAAAAAAATATTATAGAAATCACCGAAATGGTATTTGAATATTCAAAATTTATAAGAAAAACTTGTGAAGAATATCCTTACCATGTTAGCTACAATAACAAACCCAGTGCTAATAAGAATGCCGCTAAATAAGAAATTCGCTGTAATGCAATCAGGTGGTCTGTAAAAAACAACTTTGAAAACGCTATAGCATATTTGTTAGGAAAAAGTAATCATTTTATTAAAGGGGTTCATGCACCCAATCACGTATTTTTTTCTGATAGTGACACTGTAAATGTTAGTATATTTGTCTATACTAACCCATATTACTTACAAGAGCAGCAAATTTTGAATTCTGTGGCCACTAATCCAGATCCTGTTAATCCAAATGCGGTTCAGGTGCAACAGCCGGGATCAGTAGCAATACCCATAGGAAGTCCTGTATAGTAATATGATGAATATTTTATTTGTCATGTTAACTAATTATTATATTCCCAAACGAGATGATGAAGAGGAACGATTAAAATATTATAGAATTTTACAATAAAACATAAGAAGTCTCTGTATGCAGAAATTATAACATATGCTTAATCAATTCGATATTATCATCATCGTCACCGTTTGGTAATTTGCGTGAACGCGAGTGTATTATAAGGTAAAGAAAGATTCGGTTAAAGTGTCTTCAAGCATCGAGGCAAGTTTGTCATCCTAACCTTTCTCTACGAACAACGTTTGTATTGGACGGACGAAGAATTGCACAACTTGTTTGACTCCGACATAATAATAGATATCGTGTATTATGTTACACGTAGTATTAATGGTTTATGTATGCTCTTTCGAGTGAATTACAAATCCAGACACTTATATGTGGAAATTCTTTACTTTGAAGAAACACAGATGCAGAAGAGCAGTGTCATAGTGACCTACAGTGTTCAGCGATTCCTCGACCACATAGTGTCACGATCACGTGTCACGCACATACTAGTGTGCAGAGCGATAAAAGGCGGTAACATTGACGCTATTAAGAGATCATGGAGCCACCTGTCGTCGTTGCAACAGCTCTGTCGGGGAGTCGTCTCCGCTAACAGAGAGACGCTCTGGAACGACTCCACACAGATGGACATACCGGTATTTGTCGGCAGGGAAATACAAGAATATATTTTCACTAAGGACCGACGCGAAAGAAAACTATTAAATGGAAGTTTCACGTGTAAGACATTTATTAGTATATAAATCTATACTACGGATTGCTATAACACTAACAACAAGAGACGCTATAAAAAAATAAATATATAAATATGAAAAATGGAAATTTATCCAATGAAATATTATCCAAGAAACCTTTATCAAAAAGTCTTTTCTTTTTATGTGTAGATCAGTTTCGGGATGTCGATGATAGGATATTTTATTGGAATATATTCGAACCTCATATAAAGTTAATATCCAAGCATAGAGACAGGTTTATCATCCTAACCTTTCTCGACGAACAACGTTTGTATTGGACGGACGAGGAATTGCGCAATTTGTTCGACTCCGATATAATAATAGATATCGTGTATTGTGTTACACGTAATATTAATGGTTTATGTATGCTCTTTCGAATGAATTACAAATCCAGACATTTATATGTGGAAATTCTTTACTTTGAAGAAACACATATATACGAGACGATGCAGAAGAGCAGTGTCATAGTGACCTACAGTGTTCAGCGATTCCTCGACCACATAGTGTCTAATTATAACCACAAGGATATATATTCTTGCAATTGGCGCAACGAGACATGGGAGGTGGAGGATCGCGACTTTATCTACGAAAACATACTAGTGTGCAGAGCGATAGAAGGCGGTAACATTGACGCTATTAAGAGATCATGGAGCCAGCTGTCGTCGTTGCAACAGCTCTGTCGGGGAGTCGTCTCCGCTAACAGAGAGACGCTCTGGAAAGACTCCACGCAGACGGACATACCGGTATTGGTCGGCAGAGAAATACAAGATTATAATTTCATTAAGGACCGACGCGAAAGAAAACTACTATTAAATGGAAGAGGATTCAAGTCTAAGTTATTAGTTAACATTATACCGTATTTTGGATGTCGAGGAGTCGAATATGAAGAATATTTTATTGATGAAGGTATTATTCGCAATGCTTTTTGTTTCGTATTTAAATATCTTGCTAATAGATATTCCAAGTCTTATATGCCTTCTAAAAGTAAATATTTCGAACATATTTATCAGGAACACTTACAGAAGAAAAAAGAGCACGAAAGTAAATATTATCCTAATGTTCAATTTCCGTCTCTTCCATCTCTGCCGGAGACAGAGGAGAAGGGGGGGGGGAGGAGAGAAGGAGATGATGGTGGTGGCGGAAGATATAAATACAACGTGCAACCCATAAATCCCGATATAAATAATAAATGACTCACTGTTGAACTATCAATATAGTTAAACCAACTCTTGTAAGATGGCCTGAATCAATTTTGTTATTTTTGTAAATCAGTTGATCATGTAAGAACATTTAATACTTGTATTCCACTAACAGAAAGTTCTATTCAAAAAAATTTGAAAAGATAATCTCCGAACATCGAAGCGAATTTGTCACCCTAACCTTTCTCGACGAACTACGTTTGTATTGGACGGACGAGGAATTGCGCAACTTCTTGTTCAACTCCGACAAAGTACTAAATATCGTGTATTATGTTTTAAGTAATAATAATGATTTCTGCATGCTCTTTCGAATGAATTACAAGTCGAGACCCCTATATGTGGAAATCATTTATATTAATAATGCATGCGAGACAAGACAGATGAGTAAACTGAGGGGGTGGAAGAGGTTTAAGATGTGTGCTCTACAGAGCAGCATCATAGTGACCTACAGTGTTCAGCGATTCCTCGACCACATAGTGTCTAATTACGACCACAAGGATATATATTCTTGCAATTGGCGCAACGAGACATGGGAGGTGGAGGATCGCGACTTTATCTACGAAAACATACTAGTGTGCAGAGCGATAGAAGGCGGTAACATTGACGCTATTAAGAGATCATGGAGCCAGCTGTCGTCGTTGCAACAGCTCTGTCGGGGAGTCGTCTCCGCTAACAGAGAGACGCTCTGGAAAGACTCCACGCAGACGGACATACCGGTATTGGTCGGCAGAGAAATACAAGATTATAATTTCATTAAGGATCGACGCGAAAGAAAAGTATTATTAGCGAATATAGGCAAAGTAGATATGTATAAGACATTTGTTAATATTATACCATATTTTGGATGTCGAGGAGTCAAAGATGTTGGTGAGAATGATGATGCCATAGAACATGAGAATGAACATGAAGGTCTTGATTGTACTACCGACACACATGAAAAGGGTCTCGTGTTCAAATACCTTGCTAATAGATATTCCAAATCTTATATGTCTTCAGAAAATAAATATTGTGAATATTTTTATCAGGAATGTTTAAAGAAGAAAAAAGAGCTTGAGAGTAAATATTACCCTAATGTTTATTTCCCGTCTATTCCACCATCAATAACATAGTATTAGAAAAATAAAAAGTGGAGTAAGAGGAAGATGGGGGTAAATATCTCAAGTCAAGAGTTCTTATAAAACAGTCTCTAAAAAAAAAATGTCAGTCAATGATCAGTTATAATAATACAAAATTATCTTGCAATAAAAAATATATTTTTTATTTTAGTATGATTATACATTTACGAATATAATATAATATATTTTTTANTTTATACCCTAATGTTACATATCTCCATTTTTTTTCTCTCTAAGATGCATGATGTTACAACTAAATAACTATAAACCAATATATTTATGTAAATCAGTATTTATCTATCTATCTATCTTCTCACTAAGGTCTGTAAACTAATTTGTAACACAACTGGCGAATAATGAATGGGATAGAATATTTTCTAATATTTGTTTCTTTTATCCCCACAGGATTTCACATTTTTTTATCACTCTGGCCTCGTTATCCCTTGCTGCCATCATCTCGATATTAATTTATTTTTTTCTCTGTTAGTTTTTTCTTTAGGTTGGTAAAACCAACATATAATATATTCAGGAACAATTAATCCATATTAATCTGAGTTATTTTCTAATTTTTCTATACCCTAATGTCACATATCTCCATTTGTTTTTTTCTCTCTAAGATGCACGATGACAATATAAATAACTATAAACCAATATATTTATGTAAACCAGTAATTATCTACTTATCTATCTTCTCACTAAGGTCTGTAAACTAATTTGTAACATAACTGGAGAATAATGAATGGGATAGAATATTTTCTAATATTTTGTTCTTTTATCCCCATATAGATTTCTTTTTTTTTATCGCTCTGGCCTTGTTATCCCTTGCTGCCATCATCTCGATATTATTTATTTTTTTCTTTGTTAATCTTTTCTTTGGGTTGGTAAACCAACATATAATATACTCAGGAACAATTAATCCATATGAATCTGAGTTATTTTCTTTATTTTTTATACCTAATGTTACATATCTCCATTTGTTTTTTTTCTCTTAAGATGCATGATGTTACAACAAAATAACTATAACCAATATTTATGTAACCAGTATTTATCTACTATCTATCTTCTCACTAAGGTCTGTAAACTAATTTGTAACACAACTGGCGAATAATGAATGGGATAGAATATTTTCTAATATTTGTTCTTTTATCCCCACAGGATTTCACATTTTTTTATCACTCTGGCCTCGTTATCCTTGCTGCCATCATCTCGATATTAATTTATTTTTTTCTCTGTTAGTTTTTTCTTTTAGGTTGGTAAACCAACATATAATATATTCAGGAACAATTAATCCATATTAATCTGAGTTATTTCTCTATTTTTTATACCCTAATGTCACATATCTCCATTTTTTTTCTCTCTAAGATGCACGATGTTACAATATAATAACTATAACCAATATATTTATGTAAACCAGTAATTATCTACTTATCTATCTTCTCACTAAGGTCTGTAAACTAATTTGTAACACAACTGGCGAATAATGAATGGGATAGAATATTTTCTAATATTTGTTCTTTTATCCCCATATGATTTCACTTTTTTTTTTATCGCTCTGGCCTCGTTATCCCTTGCTGCCATCATCTCGATATTAATTATTTTTTTCTTCTGTTAGTCTTTTCTTTGGTTGGTAAACCAACATATAATATACTCAGGAACAATTAATCCATATGAATCTGAGTTATTTTTTATTTTTTATACCCTAATGTTACATATCTCCATTTGTTTTTTTTCTCTCTAAGATGCATGATGTTACAACATAAATAACTATAAACCAATATATTTATGTAAATCAGTATTTATCTACTTATCTATCTTCTCACTAAGGTCTGTAAACTAATTTGTAACACAACTGGCGAATAATGAATGGGATAGAATATTTTCTAATATTTGTTCTTTTATCCCCCACAGGATTTCACATTTTTTTATCACTCTGGCCTCGTTATCCTTGCTGCCATCATCTCGATATTAATTTATTTTTTTCTCTGTTAGTTTTTTCTTTAGGTTGGTAAACCAACATATAATATATTCAGGAACAATTAATCCATATTAATCTGAGTTATTTTCTCTATTTTTTTATACCCTAATGTTACATATCTCCATTTGTTTTTTTCTCTCTAAGATGCACGATGTTACAATATAAATAACTATAAACCAATATATTTATGTAAACCAGTAATTTATCTACTTATCTATCTTCTCACTAAGGTCTGTAAACTAATTTGTAACATAACTGGAGAATAATGAATGGGATAGAAATTTTCTAATATTTGTTCTTTTATCCCCATATGATTTCACTTTTTTTTATCGCTCTGGCCTTGTATCCCTTGCTGCCATCATCTCGATATTATTTATTTTTTTTTGTTAATCTTTTCTTTAGGTTGGTAACCAACATATAATATACTCAGGAACAATTAATCCATATGAATCTGAGTTATTTTCTTTATTTTTTATACCCTAATGTTACATATCTCCATTTGTTTTTTCTCTCTCTAAGATGCATGATGTTACAACATAAATAACTATAAACCAATATATTTATGTAATCAGTATTTATCTACTATCTATCTTCTCACTAAGGTCTGTAAACTAATTTGTAACACAACTGGCGAATAATGAATGGGATAGAATATTTTCTAATATTTGTTCTTTTATCCCCCACAGGATTTCACATTTTTTTATCACTCTGGCCTCGTTATCCTTGCTGCCATCATCTCGATATTAATTTATTTTTTTCTCTGTTAGTTTTTTCTTTAGGTTGGTAAACCAACATATAATATATTCAGGAACAATTAATCCATATTAATCTGAGTTATTTTCTCTATTTTTTTATACCCTAATGTCACATATCTCCATTTGTTTTTCTCTCTAAGATGCACGATGTTACAATATAAATAACTATAAACCAATATATTTATGTAAACCAGTAATTATCTACTTATCTATCTTCTCACTAAGGTCTGTAAAACTAATTTGTAACAAACTGGCGAATAATGAATGGGATAGAATATTTTCTAATATTTGTTCTTTTATCCCCATATGATTTCACTTTTTTTTTATCGCTCTGGCCTCGTTATCCCTTGCTGCCATCATCTCGATATTAATTATTTTTTCTCTGTTAGTTTTTTCTATAGGTTGGTAAACCAACATATAATATACTCAGGAACAATTAATCCATATTAATCTGAGTTATTTTCTATATTTTTTATACCCTAATGTTACATATCTCCATTTGTTTCTTTCTCTCTAAGATGCATGATGTTACAATATAAATAACTATAAACCAATACTTTTATATGTAAATAGCATCTATTCTCTCATTAGGTTCTATAAACTAAATTGAAACACAGCTGGAATGATAAAAAAGGATAGGTGTATTATGAATATATTATTAAGAATAATCGTTTACTCCCAACAAACTTTATTTTCTGTATCTCTGACGTCATCACTCTGGAATGCGTGTGCTACAATACCATTGAAGGAGAGGCTGATCTCGCCCTTTTTCTACTTAATATATAGATATATGTTAAATTGTTCAATATTGACAAGCAAATATAAGGTAAAAAGAGTATTTATCGAAATATCGTATATATGAACTTATCTTTATCTTCAGAATTCACAGGACATGTTTTATGTAAAATAAATGATAGGTGTATTATAAATACAGTCGTTTACTACCAACAAACCGTTATTTTCTGTATCTCTGACGTCATGCGTGTGACGTCATTACTGTGGAATGCATGTGCTACATTATCATTGAAGGAGAGGTTGATCTCCGCTCTTTTTCTACTCATAATATGTATAGAAACATGTTAAATTGTTCAATATTGACAAATAAATATAATGTAAAAAGAGTATTTATCGAAATATCGTATATATGAATCTGTATCCTGAGAGATCGATGACGCACGATCTCCGAGAATTACCGTTACACTTTCGCTTTCACTTTCGCTTTTTTCTCTCGTTAAACAACTAAAAAGACGGTGTTTTATATTCAGAATTCACAGGACATGTTCTATGTAAAAATAAAAGATAGGTGTATTATGAATATAGTCGTTTACTCCCAACAAACCGCTATTTTCTGTATCTCTGACGTCAGCACTCTGGAATGCGTGTGACGTCATTACTCTGGAATGCATGTGCTACATTATCATTGAAGGAGAGGTTGATCTCCGCTCTTTTTCTACTCATAATATGTATAGAAACATGTTAAATTGTTCAATATTGACAAGTAAATATAATGTAAAAAGAGTATTTATCGAAACATCGCATATATGAATCTGTATTCTGAGAGGTTGAATACATACGATCTCCGAGAAATTACCGCTACACTTTCGCTTTTTTCTCTCATTAGTCAACTAAATAAGACGGTGTTTTACATGTTTTGTGTATGTTGTAAGTGGAATGGGCGAAGATGATCTTTCCTTGAGAAATGCGACTCCAAAGGTTAGATAAAAACGGGTCTTTCGAAGTATACCCTGTAACATAAGAAAACGTACGAAATACATTACTGAAAACTGTAAAAGCTATAGGTTATACTACGAAAAACCCGTTTTATAAAAGAAGCCGATCTCGATGAACTAACATGCAACACATTGAAAATTCGCGCTATATCATATACAACTAACTATGAATATTTATGGTGATAGAGTTCATAACAGCTGACTTTGTATTATTGTATAGTTACTATGGTCTTTTTTTTTTTTCCCTTTACTTATCGCTTTATAAATGATTAAAGAAAACAAAATAACAGTAACAACTCAATATATTTGTACATGAATAAGTCTTATCTATGTATTTAGTATTAAGATTAACTCTAAAAAATATATTTGTATATGAATAAGTCTATAATATAATTCTATTAACAATGTATATATAATAAGATTAACTCTAACTCGATATATTTGTATATGAATAAGTCTATCTATATGTCTATAATAAGAATAATAATAACTAATTAATAATAATACATAACTAATATATATATATATATATATATATATATATATATATATATATATATATATATATATATATATATATATATATATATCCTAAATCGTTCTCCTTCTTTGCAGACATCTCTGGATGATGATCTTACTGGTTCAATGTAGATCAGATATCGTCGACATTCTGTGTAATTCATATTGTGAACCTAAAAATAAATTCTATTATAAAACATAGATGTATATATTTATATATATATATATATATATATATATATTATATATATATATATATATATATATATATATATATATATAGTAGAATGAAAATATACTCTTATATCATCAGAGTATAAAATACAAAATTTATCTCATGCAATTACCCCCTTCCTTTAATATTACCTCCATGATAAATTCTTCACCCTTCACCATCCTAAGATACGAACAATATGGTTCCATAAAGCATGCTGATTCCATGGTATGTCATCCTCTGTCCATTTCTCTAAGCTTATTCCACACTGAAAGCATTGAACCAGGTCGTGTAACTCTAAAAAAAAAAACATAGGTATTAGTTTACATACATACATATTTTATATATATATATATATATATATATATATATATATATATATATATATATATAATATTATAATATATAATATAATATACCTAAAGTTTTTGCTGGTCGTAAAAATCCTGCCTCTGCTAAATCAACAGCTTTTGGTATCTTTTTATCTCTTGGCCAGTTCATGAATGATTCCATTCGCTGTCGATGCATCACAAAGTTCACATGCACCGGTTCAGTGTTATTGGACCGGATGACTAAAAAAAAGAACAATAATTACAACATATAATCAACATATGAATATAACCACTATATATAGAAACTAACATAACAGCATGTGCTATAGTTACCTTTAGTTAAGGAGAAGGTGCTGCTCATGAGAGGTACGTTTCCTACGTTCTTATCTAAAACGTATTTACAGAGTGGAAAGAGACGAGAATGTTCCATTTCTGCATCAGGTTTAGATCTCCAACACCTCACTGTTCCTCTACAAAAAGCACAGACACAACAAACTCTTTCCCGTATAACAGAATCCCTCCTTAGCCAAAGGAGCCGGGTCTATTCACAGTAGGGCCATTCTCCATTTTTAAACGTTTCTAGACGTTTATATTCAAATTGTAATTCGTTATCTATGGTAACCATTATAGTGTCTCTCTCTATCTATCTTTGAATATTAATAATATTATCAGAGATTCCTTTATAATGTGATGTGATGAATATCCCACAGTCGCTCACTATATGTAACAAATCTAAAAATAAATATATCATAATCGCCCATATTATATAACAAATTCTAGGAACAGAATGGTGAATTTTAGCTACTAAACCTTTTTTGTGCTATATCCTTTTTAAGTTCTAGGTGATCATTTTTTAGACCCTCTGTCGTAGTGTTAAATTCCGTATTCCAAGATTCTTGTCTGGAGTGATGAGGAGGTGTATTTGATTCCATCGTTCATCATTCTTTCTTTTTATCTCTTTTCTTTATCTTGTCAGTCTAGAACAATATATTCAATTAATCTTGATACTCGTATTGACTATGGTATATATAATTATAACACCCAACTGGAAATATTAATTAAAAAATGTCTCATTTCTATAGGAGGATAGGATTTAAATATTTTCTTTTTACTATATAATGTGCTTATAATAACTTATCGTCGAGACAGAGAGGGAGAGGAGGAACATTGTTATTATTGCTATTATGTATTGGGTAAAAAAAAAGAGTAAACAAATTATCAAGTGATACAAAAGTAAATGTGAACATTTTTTTTATTTATTTAACATACATGTGAATATATACTTGAAGAAAAAAAAATATTATAGAAATCACCGAAATGGTATTTGAATATTCAAAATTTATAAGAAAAACTTGTGAAGAATATCCTTACCATGTTAGCTACATAACAAACCCAGTGCTAATAAGAATGCCGCTAATAAAGAAATTCGCTGTAATGCAATCAGGTGGTCTGTAAAAACAACTTTGAAAACGCTATAGCATATTTGTTAGGAAAAAGTAATCATTTTATTAAAGGGGTTCATGCACCCAATCACGTATTTTTTTCTGATAGTGACACTGTAAATGTTAGTATATTTGTCTATACTAACCCATATTACTTACAAGAGCAGCAAATTTTGAATTCTGTGGCCACTAATCCAGATCCTGTTAATCCAAATGCGGTTCAGGTGCAACAGCCGGGATCAGTAGCAATACCCATAGGAAGTCCTGTATAGTAATATGATGAATATTTTATTTGTCATGTTAACTAATTATTATATTCCCAAACGAGATGATGAAGAGGAACGATTAAATATTATAGAATTTTACAATAAAACATAAGAAGTCTCTGTATGCAGAAATTATAACATATGCTTAATCAATTCGATATTATCATCATCGTCACCGTTTGTAATTTGCGTGAACGCGAGTGTATTATAAGGTAAAGAAAGATTCGGTTAAAGTGTCTTCAAGCATCGAGGCAAGTTTGTCATCCTAACCTTTCTCTACGAACAACGTTTGTATTGGACGGACGAAGAATTGCACAACTTGTTTGACTCCGACATAATAATAGATATCGTGTATTATGTTACACGTAGTATTAATGGTTTATGTATGCTCTTTCGAGTGAATTACAAATCCAGACACTTATATGTGGAAATTCTTTACTTTGAAGAAACACAGATGCAGAAGAGCAGTGTCATAGTGACCTACAGTGTTCAGCGATTCCTCGACCACAATAGTGAATTACGATCACATACTAGTGTGCAGAGCGATAAAAGGCGGTAACATTGACGCTATTAAGAGATCATGGAGCCACCTGTCGTCGTCGTTGCAACAGCTCTGTCGGGGAGTCGTCTCCGCTAACAGAGAGACGCTCTGGAACGACTCCACAGATGGACATACCGGTATTTGTCGGCAGGGAAATACAAGAATATATTTTCACTAAGGACCGACGCGAAAGAAAACTATTAAATGGAAGTTTCACGTGTAAGACATTTATTAGTATATAAATCTATACTACGGATTGCTATAACACTAACAACAAGAGACGCTATAAAAAAAAATAAATATATAAATATGAAAAATGGAAATTTATCCAATGAAATATTATCCAAGAAACCTTTATCAAAAAGTCTTTTCAAATCAGGATTTCGTTTAATATGTGTAGATCAGTTTCGGGATGTCGATGATAGGATATTTTATTGGAATATATTCGAACCTCATATAAAGTTAATATCCAAGCATAGAGACAGGTTTATCATCCTAACCTTTCTCGACGAACAACGTTTGTATTGGACGGACGAGGAATTGCGCAATTTGTTCGACTCCGACATAATAATAGATATCGTGTATTGTGTTACACGTAATATTAATGGTTTATGTATGCTCTTTCGAATGAATTACAAATCCAGACATTTATATGTGGAAATTCTTTACTTTGAAGAAACACATATATACGAGACGATGCAGAAGAGCAGTGTCATAGTGACCTACAGTGTTCAGCGATTCCTCGACCACATAGTGTCTAATTATAACCACAAGGATATATATTCTTGCAATTGGCGCAACGAGACATGGGAGGTGGAGGATCGCGACTTTATCTACGAAAACATACTAGTGTGCAGAGCGATAGAAGGCGGTAACATTGACGCTATTAAGAGATCATGGAGCCAGCTGTCGTCGTTGCAACAGCTCTGTCGGGGAGTCGTCTCCGCTAACAGAGAGACGCTCTGGAAAGACTCCACGCAGACGGACATACCGGTATTGGTCGGCAGAGAAATACAAGATTATAATTTCATTAAGGACCGACGCGAAGAAAACTACTATTAAATGGAAGAGGATTCAAGTCTAAGTTATTAGTTAACATTATACCGTATTTTGGATGTCGAGGAGTCGAATATGAAGAATATTTTATTGATGAAGGTATTATTCGCAATGCTTTTTGTTTCGTATTTAAATATCTTGCTAATAGATATTCCAAGTCTTATATGCCTTCTAAAAGTAAATATTTCGAACATATTTATCAGGAACACTTACAGAAGAAAAAAGAGCACGAAAGTAAATATTATCCTAATGTTCAATTTCCGTCTCTTCCATCTCTGCCGGAGACAGAGGAGAAGATTGGGGGGGGTGGAGAGAAGGAGATGATGGGTGGTGGCGGAAGATATAAATACAACGTGCAACCCATAAATCCCGATATAAATAATAAATGACTCACTGTTGAACTATCAATATAGTTAAACCAACTCTTGTAAGATGGTGCCTGAATCAATTACTTGTTATTTTTGTAAATCAGTTGATCATGTAAGAACATTCCAATACTTGTATTCCACTAACAGAAAGTTCTATTCAAAAAAATTTGAAAAGATAATCTCCGAACATCGAAGCGAATTTGTCACCCTAACCTTTCTCGACGAACTACGTTTGTATTGGACGGACGAGGAATTGCGCAACTTCTTGTTCAACTCCGACAAAGTACTAAATATCGTGTATTATGTTTTAAGTAATAATAATGATTTCTGCATGCTCTTTCGAATGAATTACAAGTCGAGACCCTATATGTGGAAATCATTTATATTAATAATGCATGCGAGACAAGACAGATGAGTAAACTGAGGGGGTGGAAGAGGTTTAAGATGTGTGCTCTACAGAGCAGCATCATAGTGACCTACAGTGTTCAGCGATTCCTCGACCACATAGTGTCTAATTACGACCACAAGGATATATATTCTTGCAATTGGCGCAACGAGACATGGGAGGTGGAGGATCGCGACTTTATCTACGAAAACATACTAGTGTGCAGAGCGATAGAAGGCGGTAACATTGACGCTATTAAGAGATCATGGAGCCAGCTGTCGTCGTTGCAACAGCTCTGTCGGGGAGTCGTCTCCGCTAACAGAGAGACGCTCTGGAAAGACTCCACGCAGACGGACATACCGGTATTGGTCGGCAGAGAAATACAAGATTATAATTTCATTAAGGATCGACGCGAAAGAAAAGTATTATTAGCGAATATAGGCAAAGTAGATATGTATAAGACATTTGTTAATATTATACCATATTTTGGATGTCGAGAGTCAAAGATGTTGGTGAGAATGATGATGCCATAGAATGAGAATGATAATGCCATAGAACATGAGAATGAACATGAAGGTCTTGATTGTACTACCGACACACATGAAGAGGGTCTCGTGTTCAAATACCTTGCTAATAGATATTCCAAATCTTATATGTCTTCAGAAAATAAATATTGTGAATATTTTTATCAGGAATGTTTAAAGAAGAAAAAAAGAGCTTGAGAGTAAATATTACCCTAATGTTTATTTCCCGTCTATTCCACCATCAATAACATAGTATTAGAAAAATAAAAAGTGGAGTAAGAGGAAGATGGGGGTAAATATCTCAAGTCAAGAGTTCTTATAAAACAGTCTCTAATAAAAAAAATGTCAGTCAATGATCAGTTATAATAAACAAAATTATCTTGCAATAAAAAAATATATTTTTTATTTTAGTATGATTATACATTTACGAATATAATATAAGAGCTCAACTAAGAACTCTATGTCATCGAGTCATAATGATTACTATCATCGGTATCACTGTTATAGCTATCACTAAATATCGTGTCATTATCGTCGGTATCACAATCCATATTTAAAGCTTCGTTGTTATACTTATTCTTTACTACCCTAGAGATGATATAACCGTCACTTTCAAGGGCTTTTCGAAAATCATGTCTCTCAATAGATATTTCCCTTCTTATTTTATGATAAAAAAGATCAGCGTTTGTAGTAAAATAAATATCACCATCTCCTGTCCATTCGTCACTAGCAGTTTCCTCGCATCTTATAAACAGACGGGCAAAGACATATTTATCCTTGTACTTCATGCGTACGAAAAGAAGCAATTTATCGTTACCTGTTAACATATTATAATATTTCATAATATAGATACGATCTACATTACTTAAAACAATTTTAAAATCCTCTACTTCTATTTTGTCCCACATATCATCCGGCGTACTCTTATTAATATAAATCTGATATTCCAATAAGTGATTTAAGTTATTCAGTAAAGTAGTATTGAAGTAGGGAGTGAACGATTTGAAATGCTCGGCTTGAGCTGGAAGAATAATTCATCATCATCATCATAGTACATTTTTAAAATTATGTGCGGTCAGGATTATTATTGTTATTATTAAGAGCTGAATATTATTAGGGTTTACATATAATTTTTATTTATTCCATTATCACCGAAAAAGAGTTTTTTTTAAACAGGCATATTTTATTGTTATATTCTTTATATCCTTTTTCTTTAAAAAGGAACTATATAAAAAAGATACATTTTAAAAAAAATTAACTAATATATTTACTCATTAGGTTTATTATACTTGTAGGATCTGTTGATGTGTAACATACTAAAGAAAAGTTAACATTGTTTTATCATGTTTATTATCAATATATTATATTGTTCCTTACAATTGTACGGACTATGAGTCTCATCTGGAAGCACCATGATGAATACATACTGTCTTTGAGTAAAAAGTAAACTCTTCAACTCGAAGGATTTTCTTCTGGGTTTTTTGGATACCTTATTTTTCATGATCGTTCTTCTCTCAATTTTATTTTCTATCTTCTTTATTTTTGGATAGTTTATCATTTCATTGTATATTATTTTTGGTATCATAGTATTATCGTTACTGAATCTATTTATCTGATTAGATGATACTATTCGACTTAGGTCCCCAGTCGTATCACGGTATTCCAGTTTCTTTGTACTTTTAGCTTGTCATATTTCATAAAATATAAAATAACGTCACGTTTGCCATAAGAAAACACTATAGACTCGACAAACCGCTGTGCATCGTAAGTTACAATCGTGATGCTCTTTCTGATGGTAAAATGGTCACTATATATAGCCTCCACATATAGCGGTTTGGACTTGTAACTCATCCTTAGAAGTAAACGAAACTCTTTATCCATAATGTTCTTAAAAAAATAAACACGATCTACTGACTCGAAATTGATGCAAAAATACCGCAGTTCTTCTTCCTCCCAGTGTCTGATTTCATCAGGAAACGTAATTTTCTCATTACTATATTGCATTTCGTTCAGCAGATTAAGCCATTTAATAAGGTTCTTATTATCCTGAATCTGACGTTCTATGCTCATAAAAGTAAATTCTGATACCCGTTTTTTTGTATTTCCATCTATATTGATTGTTGTGTATCCAAAGATCATATATTGTAAATTTGGAGACATGATGAAACGGTATATGTATCTCTTTGCCATCTAAGGATAAGTCCGATATGCGAAGCTGAGTCTCGCGGGCTATTGGTGCAGGGGGGGGGACCCCCAACCTGTGCCGACAACGTATGTCAGCAAGTGCTGACGACAGAGCTTAGTCCTTAAAACGTCATAGATAAAGACTTTCTCTTTTTCCCTCCCATTCTCCTCTCTATTTCTTCCATTTTCATTATTTTTTTGTTGTATCAGGGGCCGAATGTTTTTGTAGGCTTGTCGAATCTTTTTTTTTTTTGTAAATAAAATCACAATCTATGTACGACGATGACACTATAGGGGGGGGCGAGTAAAGCGTTGTATATCAAAGATACATACACACACATACATATATATATATATATATATATATATATATATATATATATATATATATATATGTGTATATACGTGTGTGTACTCATTAGAGGTTGTAGTGATAAATAGAACGGATCAAAAAGTGGTCGAGAAGAAACAATGTTAACCCTCGTTTCGGAATATAATCCCGAATCGGATTACGTGTACACACATATGGGTATCTGTATTTTCCTGAAGAACAGACGAGTTATCCGCTCGATATGTTACATCGATATGGAATTAATATTGACAAGTTTATCCCCGAGCATCGAAGCGAGTTTGTCACCCTGACCTTTCCCGACGAAGAACGCTCGCTCTGGACGGACGAGGAACTGCGCAACTTTTCGATCGACCCGAAATCGGTGGATTTGGTGTACTACATTCTCGACAGGAGAGACACGCTCGATTTCTGCATGCTCCTACGAACGCATCGCGGTTCCAGACCCCTCTATGCGGAGATCATTTATTTTGACAACGGAAGCGAAGCTCTGACTATGACGGGAAGGAGGTGTGATGGTGATGGTGAAGAAGAAGGAGGAGGAGGAAGAAGAAGAAAAAGGAGGAGGAGGAGGACCCTTTCAGAGCAGCATCACTCTAACCTACAGCGTTCAGCGCTTCCTCGATCATATCGTATCTAATTACGACCATTCTTCCTGCTATAATTTTCCGGGGTTGATGAGACGTGGAAGGTGGAGGATCGTGACTTTATCTTTGAAAACATGCTTGTGTGTAACGCTATAGAAGGAGGTGACAGTGCTGAAATGGCAAGGTCTTGGAGACGGCGGCAGCCGTCCTCGCTAAAACAGCTCTGCCTTGGAGTCGTTTCCGCTAACAGAGAAGCGCTCTGGAACGATTCCACACACACGATCATACCAATATTGATCGAGAGACAACTGAAAGCATATATCGATATTAAGGACCGATTTGAAAGAAGAATGTTTTTAAAATATATGCGAGTAAATATGAAAAGAGTATATGAGTTTGGTGGTAATAATAACCGAACTGCAATACCGATGAATAGGAATAAATATTATACGAATGGTTACGACCCATATCCAAATATAATACATAAAACATTTGGTAATATTATACCGTTTCTTGGAGGAAATATGATAGGTTTCAAAGACGAATTTTATGATTTTTACCATTATGACGAAGTTATACCTCTTAGATTTCTTGATTATGGTTGTAGTTTCGTATGGAAATATCTTGCTGATAAATACACTATACCCTACGTCATTTGGAGAGATACCGCATATCATTACTATTATCAGGAAAAATTAAGGAATAAAAAAAAACTCGAAAAAAAATATTACCCAGATGTTTGCTTTCCATCATCTTGATTCGCAAATAATCATCATGGAAATACAATGGGTTTATCAAGACATTAATCAATATTAGAGATGGATATGCAAAAGCGATTATTGATAGATCATCGGTTGTTAATATTATGGAAATATTATTATACTATTGTAGCAGAATTATATTTTAGGATATATACATATATATATATATATATACACATATATGATGTTTAAACATTTTAATGAAACCATATACAAATAAAATAAATAAATGACAAAATATTATTATTTATCATTGGTATCATAACTCATCATGCTAATTCTAGGTCACTGCGACCGAGTTCTCTAATTGTTGATTTGGTCATCTCTTTCTCTATATATAATAAAAATTATAGCAGAATTGGTTTGATGATATGATCAATCATTCCTCTACAGACAGGGCACTGCGCCTGAGTCGAGAGACAATCGGAACAACAGACCATATGATGACAGGGGAAAGTTACCACTTCTACTTCAGCGGTCATGCAAACTTTACACAATCTTCTTTCATTAAGTTGGTTATCTGATACATTATCACATTTTTCTAATGTTGAATTTTTTGTTGTCTCGATATATTCAATATTTTGTATACCAGGGTCTCTTCTTGCAGTATTCGTATCTTGATTAGGCAAGTCCCTTCCACCATTCATACGTTCATTATTTTGTATATCAGAGTCTCTTCTTGCAGTGTTCGCATCTTGATTAGGCGAGTCCATTCCATTATTCATATGTAAATAGATGGTAATTCTTGTGAAACCTTGATTGTTACTATTATTAGCATTATCTCCATCATCATAATCATTATAAATGTTGTTCAAAATGTCTTCCAAAGAAGGGGAGGTAGGGAGCACACCTATTGAATTGATAGGCGTGCTTGTAGTTCTAGTATCTATATCTTGATCAATCAAATATTTCCATATTGTTATTAAGGGGGCAGTCTGATATCTATCAAGATACGAACTTATTCGAGAAGTAATCTCATTATTCAAGATATCGAACNTTCAGGTATAGTCTGTATTTTTTATATACGATTCTATTTTTTTCCTTACAGCTGAAATACATTCAACTTCACTTGAAAAAGGTATACCAGTTTGTATAACTTGATCTCGGAGTGCATCTCTAACGGCAACGGTGGGAAAACCTAGCATTAATATTTTTCTGGTATAATCCAGACCCAAAAGATGATTCCAATCGTGTTCCGTGACGGCATTGACACTACTAGATACTGGATGATTCAGGTTGTGCTCCGTGAGGGTATCAACACTACCGGATATTGGCATGTTAGATTCTCTCCTAACCTGAAAATCAAAAGTTTTGTTTATTCATAATTATATATATAAACTATATGTATATATATATATATATATATATATATATATATACTTGGAATATCGACATTTTTGTATCATGTTACGTATTTACCTTATTGATGAATGCTTCTCCCTTCTGCAAGTAAACATAATGACACGAGGCAGACCATATGGCGTGTAATTTCCACGGATCATCATCATCTTCCCAATTGCGAAGACCGACACCACAGTGGAAACATGAAACATGATCACTAATTCCTATAAGATGAAAAACGTTAAACATTATTGTTTTAGTTTAATACACACAACATTATTGTTTACTGTTTAATACACACACATATATATATATATATATATATATATATATATATATATATATATATATATATATATATATATATATATATATATATATATATATATATATATATATATATATGTGTGTGTGTGTATGTGTATATAATAAAATCCAACTTCTAAAGCTTATTGGATTTTGACGAGTACTAAAAAATATAACATTAATAAACATATATATACATATGTATTTATATTTATATATATATATATATACCTGTATAATAAAATCCGGCTTTTACCATTTTTCTGGATTCTGGTATGTGCTAATAGGCCAATTTTTAAAACTCTCGAATCGTTCATTTGCTGTTATATAACTATCATATAATGGTCCATTATATTTATGATAATATTTTCCAGATTTTAAAACTTTCCAATCGCTCTTTCCAACTCTGCATTCGTGTCGCACTAATACTATTTCTTGGAGCCCCATCTGAAACATAAATGATAAAATCATCAGTAATAATATATATAATATATATATATATATATATATATATATATATATATATATATATATATATATATATATATATATATATATATATATATATGTTATAGACAGACTAAATCAGCTAATACGTGTATAAATATACCTTCAAGAGACTGGTTTACATTCTTATTAACCACTGTTGTTTTCCGAGTTGTTTTAATCTTATTTATAATATCGCTCATATATATCGGTATATTACCGACAGGTTTACCCTGTGTAATCTTACAGTCGATATGTTTCTTTTGCAATTGCAAATTTATTGGTTCATCGTTAGAAAATATGACATGTTTGTGACAATAAAAACAGATACAGCAAGTTGCACTTCTCGAATAATAAAAGCCGGCAGCTGCTAAGTCCTTGGGTTGTACAAATTTGTTTGGCCAGTCTATAAAGGTTTCTAACCTTTTAATCTCATATCTTAAGTCTTTCGGCATACTCGTTGCCGAATCAATAATAAAAGATTTGGATCTTGGGAGAGGAGGTAAATTCTGTGCAAGTTGACAATAAGGGCTCATCTCTTTATGTATTTTCACAATGTCGTCTGATTTCTTGAGAGTATTTAACTCAAGATGTAAATAACAATCATTACATGTTACAAATTTAGATGATGAATCATATTGTACAAAACCAGCTTTTGCTAGTAATAGTTTTTCTTGAAGAGTAATCATAGGTTGGTCATCATCACAATACATATTGTTCATTTTTTGAGACATTTTCTATTTTTCTCACAATTACTAATTATTTCTTCTCAACATTATATATCTACACTTAATTTATACTACATATAATAAAAAAAACCAACCTCTGTCAATATACTATACTCTCCCTTTCACTTTTTCCACCCCTCTGTTTATTAATTATAGACTTTACAAATATATAAGATTTTCTCTCTACATATGGGACATTTTCTTTGAGTTACAATACAATTGCTACAGAAAACTAAATGTCTACATGGAAATATAAGTATGTCTCTAATAGCAGTTAGACAGACATTACATTTTTTTTTATCTTCATATTGGTTTGGGGTATCTGAAATGAGAAAAAAGATATCATATTAATCTTAAACGCACACACACACATATATATATATATATATATATATATATATATATATATATATATATATATATATATATATATATATATATATATATCCATTACCTATATACTTACCATTTATTTTTCTTTTTTTTGTAAAAGATGATCCTTTTTCATCACTTGAGCGTTTTTTTTGGTGAATGTTTGATTATTTTGCTGATAATAGCATTACTATCTTCATAATCACTATTAGTACTACTATCACTACTAATACTACTATTACTACTACTATTATTACTATCAATATTTGTATTAATGTCATCATTATTATCGTTATTACTAGCATTATTATCTTCATTATCATCATTCTTTAAAGGAACTGGCCAAAGTTTCCATGTAAATGGAAAACTATCAAGAGATTTATTATATTTTCTATAATAGAAAATTAATTTCTCCCATATTGTAAATAAAGAAAAACTATCAGTTTGCTTGGAAAAAGCCGAATCTATAACTGGGACACTATCTGTCGCATGGTTAAGTCTAGATAATACCGTGGTATATTCAATATAAAATCTACCATCAAAAGAGTACTCTGGATATGGAAGAGTGAACGAATACCGGTAGCGGTATAGCGATATAATGGAAGAGTCATATTTGGACTGTTTAATAACACAAAGTGAGTCATCTTGCTTAAACTTATCAATAGAATGTTTCCTATTAATTTCCATTTTCGATTGCATTTTTTTTATATCATCCAAGAATGCTGATACTGAATATAGAGCATGATAATTTCTGATGCTTTCTATTTTCATATTACTGCGTAAAGAAAAATGACCATATTTTATTATACAGTCTCGTACAGTATTAATACAGTCATTTCTGGATATGAAAGGTGTTTTCTTCAGCAAAATCTGTAATTCAAGGGCGTCTCTAACAGCCCTAGTCGGGAAGTCTGATAATAGTAATTCTTTAGTGAAATCCAAGCCTAGAAGAGTATTCCAGTCTATTTCCGTTATATTGCTTCTGGTCTTAATAGCAGGCGTTCTATACAAATTTTCCTTTATCTTCATCGTCTGTAAAAAAAAAAAGTTATAATAATGGATTATATTGTATATTTGTATATATATATATGTATATATGTTGTATTTGAATATATTATTACAATAATATCATACCTTTTTGACGAAATCTCCCCAATCTTCCCCCATTTTTAATTGAATATAACTACAATTAGGATTCCACATAGCGTGTTGTATCCATGGATCGTCATCGTCCTCTTCCCAATTAAAAATATAAACATCACAATGAAAACAATGAACACGATCACCATAACCTGAAAATAACTTGACAGATTAATAAACACGATCACTACCTCGACACTTGCTACTCTTATTTTTTATATATATATGAAAATTACTTACCTGTATAATAGAATCCTGCTTCTACTAATTTCTCTACGAATGATTGATCTTTAAGAGGCCAATTATCCTTATCATAATATGTGGATCTCCGAGATTCCTCTGTTGCGTATTTCTTATGAATTGGTCTATGATATGGTTGAATATTCATATTCGATAATTTTTTATCATTTTTTGTTGTATTATCGTGTGACCGAAGATTATTACTATTACCAGAAATGTACCTCAGTAAAGATCCATCTAAGGGATATATAGAGTAACGTCCTAAGATTTTTTTTAGTATCTTATCTTCTACAATAGGTACATTGCCAACTGGCTTACCCTGTACCCAATCACAATTGTGACAATATTCCTTGTTTTTTCTTTGAAAATATTTATATATACCCATATGTATATAGATTATATTGTTGTTATATCTTAGGATACCTGTATCTTCCTCTGGGTGAAACGATATAAACATGTTACAGTAAAAACATATGCATATGTAAGCATTTCTTGAATAATAAAATCCAGCATTGGCTAAATCTCTCAATGTTATTATTTTTCCATCTCCGGGCCAATTTATAAAAGTTTCTAATCTCTTCATTTCGTATCTTAATTCCTTATCACCATCTTTATATAATCTTGATCTCGGAAGGAAAGGCAAATTATGTGCAAAGGTACATGATGCATCTCTATCTTGATGGATCTCCACAATATTCTTCCCTGTATCAATATCTTTAGCACTAAGCTTCAAGTTACAATTGAAGCAGATGAATTCGTTTTCGACTTTATAAAAACCAGCTTTTGCAATCACTTTTGGATGATAGGCATATTTATCTTCGTCATCATCAAATGTTTTCAATCGTTGTATTTCCTTGTTCATTTTTTTCTACTTTATCTTTATACATATATATATATATATATATATATATATATATATATATATATATATATATATATATATATATATATATATATATATATATATATATATATTGTTCATTATCACTATATGTTTATAACATGTGCATCATTATAACTGTGCAAGAATAAACTAGATCATAGTCGAGCTTCGGTCCTGTGGTATCAAACTCAAGACTTTGGTATTGTTTTCTTTCTGATCATGATATCACCATTTCTATTGTTTGCAGACATATGTATTATTATATAGAGCCATACCAATAATGGTTGAGATTATTTTAAAATAGAATAAAATTAATAAACGATGAATTTGATAAAATTTATTAGTAGATATATTAACATATAGAAATTTATATAAGACAGGGTTACAAAACTATATACAGTATTCCATAAAATTATATAGTTTTCCTTATGTTGTTATAAGGACAAACTTATATACTAGATTCCTCATTGTGAGTTAGTTATGTTTATATAATTCATTTTATAAAGTATATTATAAGTATCCTGTTTTATAGGATACTCTGTTTGTTGCTTTTCATCTCTTGTGCTCATATTATAAACAAAAAAATCCTCGTTGTTTTTCAAAAACTTTACAACAATTGTGATATAGGATCCATATTTTCTAAGATATACCACCCTACCTATTAGGTTTATAATCTCTACCATCATATATTTTACAGTATATACTTGACCACATAGATATGTATTTAGTCTCTCATTCGTATTCAGTTTATTTTCCTCTAGGAATCTGTGTATCGATTCTGGGATTGTTTTTTCTTTATTTTCATCTAAAGAAGTGGATTCCATAGCCACAGACACATAATGTTTGTTTTTATTGAATTTATCCTTAAAAGATATATAAATATAGTTTTCATCTTTGCTATCTTCTAATATATTATTCATTTTCTTTTGAAATGCTAAGAGTATGATTTTCTCCCAAATTTTTTGATTACATAATATCTTATTCATGATATTTTGTTTTGATTTGATCAATGTTTGAATTTCATCTTGTTGCATCGATTTGTCCGTCATATTCAAGTCCTGAGAGTCACTGCATTGTTGCAATGGACCATGATGTTGTAAACTGTCTGTTGTTTGTTCAGTCGATGACACATCTTGTTTTGCTATAAACGACAGTTGTTGTTGTTGTATGGTATATGTAATATTTGAATACCATCATCATTTCGGTAAGATCCTCTGATATCACCATACTGTTGTTGAGCTTCTTCTTGCTGCAAAATACATGTTGTTTGGGTAGTTGGTGGACCATGATGTTGTAAACTGTCTGTTGTTTGTTCAGTCGATGACACATCTTGTTTTGCTATAAACGACAGTTGTTGTTGTGATGGTATATGTAATATTTGAATACCATCATCATTTCGGTAAGATCCTCTGATATCACCATACTGTTGTTGAGCTTCTTCTTGCTGCAAAATACATGTTGTTTGGGGAGTCGGTGGACCATGATGTTGTAAACTGTCTGTTGTTTGTTCAGTCGATGACACATCTTGTTTTGCTATAAACGACAGTTGTTGTTGTGATGGTATATGTAATATTTGAATACCATCATCATTTCGGTAAGATCCTCTGATATCACCATACTGTTGTTGAGCTTCTTCTTGCTGCAAAATACATGTTGTTTGGGGAGTCGGTGGACCATGATGTTGTAAACTGTCTGTTGTTTGTTCAGTCGATGACACATCTTGTTTTGCTATAAACGACAGTTGTTGTTGTTGTTGTGATGGTATATGTATATTTGAATACCATCATCATTTCGGTAAGATCCTCTGATATCACCATACTGTTGTTGAGCTTCTTCTTGCTGCAAAATACATGTTGTTTGGGGAGTCGGTGGACCATGATGTTGTAAACTGTCTGTTGTTTGTTCAGTCGATGACACATCTTGTTTTGCTATAAACGACAGTTGTTGTTGTTGTGATGGTATATGTAATATTTGAATACCATCATCATTTCGGTAAGATCCTCTGATATCACCATACTGTTGTTGAGCTTCTTCTTGCTGCAAAATACATGTTGTTTGGGGAGTCGGTGGACCATGATGTTGTAAACTGTCTGTTGTTTGTTCAGTCGATGACACATCTTGTTTTGCTATAAACGACAGTTGTTGTTGTGATGGTACATCATTTCCGTAAGATCCTCTGATATCACCATACTGTTGTTGAGCTTCTTCTTGCTGCAAAATACATGTTGTTTGGGTAATCGGTGTTTGTTGTATTACTTGAATATCCTCTTGTTGTAACGGTTCATGGTATGTTCATTGGCCATTTGTTTATTTTTTTATCTTTGTGTGGTATTTGTTCCATTGTCTTATTATCTCTATTTAGTTGTTCTCTGTTTAAATTTGGTTATACGACAATAATAAAGGTAGATGTTATTATATGAAACTATTTCTTAAAAAAGCATATGAGATAGAGTATTCTCCTTACAACGAGTATCTATTTGGTGCTTCAAGACTGCTTTATACGATGTATGCATCTATGAACAGTCTTGATCTGTGTCGGTAATCAACTTATTATTTTTTTTTCGATATTACGTTTAATTTCCATGTTCCAAAATATCTATCTGTAGTGATGAGGACACTATTTGCTTGCACCGTCTATTATATTTTCTCGTACCTTTCTTCATCTTGTACCAATGATATCTGAGAGGACAAATATCCTTCTTAGCACTAGTGCTCGTGTTGTGTCTTTAACACCCACTATACGATATGGTTTTTTCCTATGAACCATTAGACATATAGATTAAATAATATTCTTTATGATAACCTGTATCATATTAACGTCCATACTAACATTTATGAAATACAAGCATATAAGTCATGTTAACATTATAAATTTTAACAATGTAACTGAAAGATAATGACATAAATATATTATCACTGATATACTAACATGGTTACGATAAAGAATATGAGGGTATTTATGTGACAAATATGAACCTTATCAACAATGATAACTATGTTGTGAGGAGCATAACATCTACTAATAGTTTGATAGACAGCAAGACTTTTCTTTGCTCAGAAGCGGATGTTCTCATTATAATCTTAAACGAGAAATTTACTTCACAGCAAATACCCAATGTTTTAAGGTTATTATCATCTATTTTGAGAAAAGATTTTATAAATAAACTTTGCTAATGTTATCATATTTTAATCAAAATAAAATAAAAAATCAAAAACACTATTTTATACTCGCTAAAAGACATTCCAAGCATCTTAAACTTTATTCCTGTTTCATCGATAAGGATGAGAGAATCGATTGTGCCCTTGAATGGAAAACGAGACAACCATTGCTGTCACGTTGGTTCCCGCTCACCAACTCGAGTAATACATATACCAATATTATTAAAAAGAATCCTATCTTTATATTTATTGGTCAGTGTATTCCATCTGTACTTCGCCAATTTATAGACTCTTCCCAAGAACTGACCAGAAAAGTAATATATCTAACAACAGAGGAAGATTCTACCAATATCAATTTCGACCATGTTTTAAATCATATCCCTCATCACTGTACAATTACCATACACATATTGCGTTTAATATAAATACTGTGAAAAAAATACACAAGACTTATATTTTATTTAATTGTGCAAAACTAGACATTATACAATAATTAAGTTTATAATTTGGACTTTGCAGAAAGTAGACATTTTGCATAAAACTAGAAAATTAGACATTTGTGCAAAAAATAGACATTATATACTTTACAAAAAAAAATAGACACTTGTACAAAAAATAGACACATATTGACTTTGCAAATACTAGACATTTGTATAGAACTTGACATATATGTAAAATAAACATTTTACAAAAATTATATAGTTAGACTTTGAAGAACCAGACATTTGTGCAAAACTAAAACTTTTACAAAAATAAACTTTATACATAAAAACAATTTGTATATTGGAAAACTAGACATTTATGCAAAAACCAGACATTATGCAAAAATTGGACTTTGATCTAAAACTCATTGGATATTGCAAAAACTAGACATTTGTGCAAAAACTTGACATGTGTGCAAAATAAACATTATATAAAATTATAGTTAGACTTTGAAGAACCACACGTTTGTGGAAAATTAAAACTATTAGAAAAATAGACTCTGTATGTAAAAATAATTTGGATATTGGAAAACTAGACATTTATGCAAAAAACAGACATTATGCAAAAATTGGACTTTAATCATTGAATATTGCAAAAACTAGACATTTGTGCAAAACTTGACA